TGATGGGGGGGGGGAGGCGGCACACGGGCTCAGGGTTGCAGTCGCGGGGCCGGGCCGCGAGCGTGCGCACGAGGCTGCACTATGTGCTAGGCTGCGGGTCCATCGGGCATTGAAGGTCGACCGGCGAGGAACTTTTCGGTGAGTTTTCCTACGCATATCCAACACATCAAGCATAATTGGAGCACATTTTCCTACAAAATAAAATAAAAATAAAAATAAATAATGTACAAAATTTTAAAACAACACAAAAACACGTGAACGGGTAAAATCAACCTAATAAACCAAAAAAATTACTTTTCTTCACCATGTTAATAGGTGAAAAATAAATATCTGAGTAGTTAAACTTGAATAAATCATAAATAAACAAATTCTTTCAGAGGAAAACAAATTCTCACATTTTATAATATCAATTTAAATTTGTCATCGCTGATATTAAAGTAAAATATGCCCATAGAAATTTTCGAATTTGAGAGAGTGTATGGGCATGTTTGTTTACAAATTAACTCACTCTCTTTTAATTTACATTCAAAATCTAACTCAATTTAACTCAAACCACTATTCTTAATATTATTCATATAATTAAATAAGACAAATCAATCATTCTTACACATCACATTAACTTTAATTTATTATTCATCTGTTGGCGCCCAAGTTGGTAAGCACGAATCAAGGGGATAAAACCTCGCAATTAAACGAATTAGCATATACGTGATCCCGGAAAGCAGGGCTCACAGGCCGACCTCACCAGATAAGACGACCAGTTCGGCTTCATCAATTAACGATAGACAGCTCGAACCTAAAGATCGATGGGAAAAAGGCGACCACAAGTAGGAGCAGGGTCCGAGCTCATAACCACGAAGAAGACCCGAGCCCATGGCAAAAAAGGAGAAACCCAATTCAAGTCACGCCGGAAGTCCGACTTCGAAGATCTCGGAGGGCGAGATCCCGAGACGCACTTAATATCGGGAAATAATAAAATAAGCCCACTTGCAGTCTCATGATGGTCGATGGGATTTGCTCACCAACCCTGCAGGCTTACCCCCAGTAGGCCCCTAGGATGACACGTCTGCGTTAAGGGGTTGTCAAGCAGCATTAAATGACTAATAATCATCATTTAGAATCAACCACGACAACATGGCTTGGTGAACAATAGAAGAGTGGCGGCCAAGTATGTCTAACTATAAATAGTCCAAGGTTTCATTAAAGACATAGGCAAGAACACAGAGCAGACAAAATACAATATCTTGTACAAAAACAATCAATTGCAACAAATTCAGGCAACACCGCCTAAAGGTCCGACCTATAAGCACCTAGTGGGTGGCTGACCTCGATTCACATATAAAATTCTATTTTCATCGTTAAATATCTCTTATTTCATGTTAATCTAACCAATCACTAAGTTGATTCTTGATTAATCGTTGATACAAATCACATATCAACATCATCCACTCACATAATTTTAACTACATATCATTTTCAGTCATTTATCTTATACTTTTACATCAATCAATTTTAATCATTTTATTTTAAATATTATTTTAATACATTCTTAAAATTCTATTAACAACTAATCATGCCACTTTTCTTAAAATTATTTCTGATAAAAAAAAAATAAAAAATACTCATTCTAAACGGATTAATTAATAAACCCATATTTCATCTTTGTTGGTGCGAGTCGTGACCCATATCCCATTAATGCGATTTTGAAACCAAAATAAAATAGAAAAGAAATCACCAGATTTTCGAGGTATAACCATGGCGGCCAGGGTTGCGATTGGAAATTCCCCGGCGACTAGAACACCGCTGCTATTTCAGCATTTCCGATCATCTGTTAAACCCACCGGACGGAATTCTGGGTTCCCGTTATTCGGCCCGTTAGCCTCCTTCTCGTCTTCCTCTCAGCCGAAGAAGCTGGTACTTTACTCAAAGCCCGGATGCTGTTTGTGCGATGGCCTCAAAGAGAAACTCGACACGGTTTTTTCTTCTTCCGGCCCGAATTACGTCGGCGACGTCCAGTTGGAGGTCCAATCGGTTTAACTTGTTCTCTTGTGTTTTAATTTAATCAGTTTATTCAATTTTTGACTACGGATATTATTTGGTGATTTCTGATAAAATGTGAAGCTTGGGATTTATTTTGTTATCATTTGTGTTGTTTTGAACAGTTTGAAGTTTCTTTTGGCCCAAAAATTATGCCCTCCAAGTTTTAAATGTAATATTGATATATATCACAGGTCACAGGCAGTGTGTTCTGTTTTGCAAAAATGTTTTATTTGAAGTTAATGAACTTGAATTCTAATTGTTTGGGTGTTTTAGTTAACTCGATTTTCTCCAAGATTTAAACTTTTCATCTGTATGAAGTCATTGAACCATAATCTGATCTTTTTTCTCAGATTAGGGACATCACGAGTAATCCGGAATGGGAGCGGCTTTACCAATACGAGATACCCGTGTTAGCCAGAGTTAGAGAAGATGGTACTGAGGTTCGTTTGTGATTTCCTTATCTGATTGTGTTTGAAATGTTGCAATGTGCAAATGTATTTACTACTTTGATTGTTTGCAAGGCTAATTGGTTTTTGAGCAATGTTTTGTGCACCAAGTCGAGCTGTTTATTCGTTCGATGCATGCAGAGGAAGGCAAATGGCATTAGGTTGATATAGTTGTGTGGAATTATTGTTGGCCTTGTAGCTATTATGAACATTCTGCTGTGGCTATTGTCGTGTAGAAGAACTTTCACGATTGGATCAGAATTAGTTTTAAGTTAGTTTTATACAAACTAACAACAGCAAGTTTATAAATTGCAGGAGATTCTTCCGAGATTTTCTCCACGCGCTGCAGTAGAGCTTGTCCAAAAGAAGATAGCGGCAGCTTTCGGTTAATGAGTTTTGCTGTATTTGTACGAGACATGTATTAGACTGGTTAGCTAATCTTGGTGCCTGTTGTTTGCATGCATCTTTATGCTCATTATACATCATATTTTTTTGAAGTATGAATTCATGTAACGCTTTTGGAGCTTGTAACTTGTTGCGTCTTGTTTTAATAGTAAAGACTCCTTCGATAACATGTGAATGGTGGCTTTATAAAATTATATCAATCCCAGTTTTTGGATATCACAAATTCTTGTGTGAGACAACCTTAATGGTTCGGCAAGTCGACCTGTAATACTTTTTAAACAAATCAAAGTCTCATAATATATTTTTTCCTTTTTTTTTTTTTTACTTTCGTCCGATTATCAGTAATAACACGAGTTTCAATGTGTGGGGTCTAGATGAGTTTTTTCTTCCAAAAGTACCGCTTCAAATACCCAAAGTGAAGAACAGAGGCTGAAATACAGAGACCAATCGACACAATACTATAATGTGCGACTCTCACATTCATTTTCAAGTTCACGAGCGTCATGTCCATTTGCCTGCGGAAAAGATGGTTTCTCAGTACTTCTTGAACAGTATTATAACGAAAGGTAATCGATATTCCATTCATATGAATCTTGAATTTACCTATGCATCATAGAAATCATATTATGATGGATGGAGTCAACAGCTTCTTCAAGCTTTCTGATCTCCAAATCCAAACCCTAGAGAAAAAATAAATAACTAAAAAGTTGTACTTAATATAATCCATCAATATATGAAGGAGAATCATGGAACTCGCCTCGATTTTTTCCTTTTTGGCGATCGAGTCCCAATATTTTATGGCTGAGTCCCATTTTCCATTGTAATCCGACCGTCACATCAATGCCGGCCAGATGAGGGTCGCTGTTGACCCAAAAGCACACACCATAGTTACCGGGCACATGTGTTGTTAACGCGAATTCGCCGTGAGTGACTTTATCGGTCGAGTTCTTTTCCACCAGGTGATAAGACCTAAGATAGAGTTTACAACATTAATATATGACTTGCTTTGATTGATGCTTTTAGGACATTATTAAAGGCCAACTAAGAAACATTGATGCTTGTTAAAGTTTTTGTAGGAGTGATTTTGTAAGAATTAAAAGGTGGAAAGAAAGAAAGAAAGGAAACACAAAACTGTAAAAGGGCCCACGAACTTTAGTTTAATCAGGAAATTATTCAAAAATAGAAAGGAGTGGCAAATCGTGATATCGTGTCGTGTTCGTGTTCGTGTTACACTATCGTGTTTTCACTTTATCTATATTTATTATATGATCAATAATACGATAATAAGCCATATTAAACTATTACTTCTATTTCATGTTGTTTTCCGAGTAGTGCCATGTCACGTCGTAATTATCGTGTCATTTGTCTCTATAATCGTATTTTTCAAGTGAAATATCTTCATTTCTTCTACTCGTCGAGCCCCTAAAAGAAGTTCAAGCCGAAGAAAGTAGAAAAACAAAAAGCATAATGATTTATCGAAATAATAAATAAAATTTAAAAACCTTAACGGAGATGGATGGAGCAAGGGTGGCGTTGAAATTGTCGTGCTCGCCGTACAAAGCCACGAAATTAACCAAAACGACGGCATTGTTGCCCAATTTCTCTGAGACGCACTTTACTCCGCTACTTGCCAAGTCAAACAATATGCCACGCGCTGCCGGGGCCGCAGCCGACAGTGCCAGCATGACAGCCGGCAAACGACGCGCCGCCGTCAACTTCATGATTATTCAATTTTTTTCTTTTCTTTCTCCTTAAAAAATGAAAATAAGACAAAAACGACATAGACGATGTGATTAAATGTTTAAATAATTAGGTCAAGGCAATAATAGAATAAACATAGTCAAATATTGATTTCATATTTGCTTTAAAATCAATGCAGGCACAAAAATATAGCAAATTAATTCAAAAATTCAATTAGTGTGTTACTAAAAGTAATTTAAAGTCGGTTCAAATTTCTATTTTCACCAACTATGAGACTTTCATAATCGATTTTATTTTATTTTATTTTATTTTTTTTGGACAATCTTGGTTTTGTTGAAAAGATTGGTTGACTTTTTGGGTGAATATGGTCAAATATTATTATAAACTTTAGAGGAAATAATGCGAAATTCGAAATAATTTGAGTAATTTCTAATTTTGGCACTTTGGGTTTGCAATTGCATTGTAGCAATTAATGACGTTGTATATATAATTAAATTTTCTTTATATAAACAATATAAATTTCACATCAAGTATTGTAAAAATAGTTAGTTTATCCAGCAATAAAAAGTTATCTAGTAAAATTTGTAAGGAAACATATTGATACTCTATATATATAGAAAAAGTCATCATATTTACTAAAATTAGTAACAAGAAAAGTCAAAGGATAATTGATGTATTCTATTTTTATTATTTTTTCAATTGTATTATTATTTTATAGCTAAAAAACGGGTCTCTAATTCCATCCTTAATTAATGTACTTTACAATAAATCGGACATATAGACTTCAAGTAAAAACATGTCTTATTTCAATCTTAAATTTAAATATTAAAATTTCTTATTATTTTGTTACATTAAAATCCTGAATGAAATGTTTGCCACAAAATCGGACAAAATAATAATTGCATAGAATTCAAGAAAAACATGTCTCATTTAAAATTTAAATTTTAAATTCTCTTATCATTTTGTTACATTTCCGGATGATTTGTTTCCCATAACATCGGACGGAATTAATAATTGCATAGAATTCAAGTATAATTTTGAATTTATATCAAGGATGTTTAATAAATGCATAGAATTTCAAAGATGTTTATTTATTATTAAAAAAATTTCTAAAAAACATTTGTGTATATTTTATATAATGTTTTACTTTAAGTTTATTTACATAATCTCACTGAATTATATTAATAAATAATATTAATATATATTAAATATTTTAATTACATAAAAAAAAGACTACATCTATAACCTGTATAAATAGTCATAATGACATTATATTAAAATAAATTTTATAATAAAATAGACATGTGAGCTAGATAATATATTAATTAATTTACGGGTTTGCGTTACTAGGCTCAGGTTTAATGCCTCGACAAAAAAAATGAAGTTGATGAAAAGAGGTAAAAAAAAATAGATGATCAAACTCTATCATTTTTTAGGCCTGAACGGACAAGCCCTATGGTCCATACATTTAATATCTCTCGTGAATTGTACGAGCTACTTAACGGACAAGCTCTGTGGAAATGATTCATTTAATACTTCTGTCACGTGTATCACACGGACTACGTACTAGTAACTAGTACAATACCCGTGCGATGCACGGGGTTATTATCTCCGTCCCTTTTAAAAAGCAACTTTCAGTTAAAATTCAAAGTACTTACTAAAGGAAAAGATCATGTCATTAATAATTAACAAATTAATAAGTATAATGAAATAAAATCTATATATTATTGAACATTGCCTTATATAAAACGTTCATGGTTTGATTCTTTGGCACGTCATCGTCGCCACAAATTAGGATTTTCAAACCATTTCTGTTTGTGATACGGGAGACAACAACATACAACTGGCTATGACAAATCACTGGTTTCTTAAGAAATAAGCCCACATACAAATGATTGTCCATGCTCTTATTTATAGTCATGACATAAGAAACCATAATGGGAAACTATCAACGTTGGAACTTAAAATGAATTCTACCATTATAAGGAGTTATAGCCCACTCTTGGAATCAACACTTTATCACCTGCGCGATAGCCAGTGAATATCTTACGCCCGAGAACATGAGTGGAGAACTTTGTCACAACCAATCATGTCTCATTACATAGACCCATAAAGGAGATATAGTTACAAAATTTCAAGTTAAAAAAGAAAGAAGTAGCTTAAGAAATAAGATCATGCTTATCAATGTGACATAATGTTTACAAAAATTAATGGAGTTTGATATGCATCATTTATCAAACATTGAGATTTTTTCTGCAATATTTAACTCAAAACAATCTGAACAAATTGTGAAATTTGTTGTCAAAAGAAATCCAAAAGTGTATAAATATCTATAAAGTGTGTTACAATATATATATATTAAAGGATTTGTTATCAAAATCCGGATTTGTTATCACAATCAAATCAAATTGTGTGTAAATAAAAAAATATCGAGATTTTTTCTGCAATATTTAACTCTAAACAATCCGAAAAAATTGTGAAATATGTTACCAAAAGAAATCCCAAAGATTATCGACAATATATTGTGTGTAAATAAAAATAAAGTGTGTTACAAAGAAAACTGTTGTTTTAAAGGGGTTGTTATCAAAATCTGAGATTTGCTATCACAATCCGAGATTTGTTATCACAATCAGATCAAATTTGTTAACAAAATCTAAGATTTGTTATCAAAATAAGATCAAATTTATTACAAAAATTCAATTATATTGGTTGACATGTGGAGCTCATTGATATTGCTTATAATAGTAAGTCAATAATTAATTTTTTATTTTGAAGATTATGTGTCATATCAATGTGACATAATGTTTACCAGAATTAATGGAGTTTGTTACAATTTAATTTGGTAAGGCGTTTTGGATTGATTGAACAAAAAAATATTTTTATTTTGATATGCATCATTCATCAAATATCGAGATTTGTTCTGCAATATTTAACTCCGAGCAATCCAAAAAAATTGTGAAATTTGTTACCAAAAGAAATCCCAATGATTATTGACAATATATTGTGTGTATATAACTATGACGTGTGTTATAAAAAAAGAGGATACATTAAAAATTTCATTATCAAAATTCGAGATTTGTTATCACAATCTGAGATTTGTTCTCATAATCAGATCAAATTTGTTAACATAACACGAGATTTGTTATCAAAATAAGATCAAATTTGTTACTAAAATTCGAGATTTGTTATCAAAATTCGATCAAATTTGTTACCAAAATCCGATTAAATTGGTTGACATGTGGAGCCCATTGATAATGCTTATATTAGTAAGTCAACAATTAATCTTTTATTTTGAAGATTATGTGTCATATCAATATGACATAATTTTTACCAAAATTAATAGAGTTTGTTACAATTTAATTTGGTAAGGCTTTTTGGATTAATTGAAAAATAATATTTTTATTTTGTATGCATCATTTAACAAATCTCGAGATTTTTGCTGCAATATTAAATTGTGAAATAATTATCCATGAATATCTTATGATTGATTTTATAGCTAATTTGCGTTTGAATTTGAATATATATCACGCCATGAACATAAAATTAAATTTTTTCAGTATTTATCACATGTTTTCATAATTTGAATTTCAAATTGAAAGCTCGTCGCCCATTAAAAAAATCGAAAAAAAATGTATGAATAATAGTATGAATGATATTTTTTGGTGAGATTTTAGTTATTTTTTTAAGTAAATTTCTATTCCTATTATATATTTATAAATTTTTTTTGTTAAAAAATACAAAATTCAATTAATACCCATGAATTATTTGAACATCTATTGTTAAATGCTTTACAAATTATTTGATTTTGATTTACCCAAATTATTTGATTTTCATTTTGATTTTTGATTGACCAAAATTTTTGGTGGGATATCAATTGATTTTGATCTACCAAAAATTTGTTTATTTGTAGTAGATAAAATACGTTTTTAATATACTTGTAGTACAAAAATAAAATAATTTTGGTAACTACATTTGATTATTCATGTTCAAATCTCACATTTTTTAATTTTTGAATAATCAAATATGTAGATTTACCAAAATATGTTTTTAATATGTGGAGTATGTTTAATTCTCACATATTTTAAATTCAAATCCTTTCCAAAGTTTATGGGATATCAATGATTTTAATTTTCAACTTAAAAATCTGTAAATTCAAAGAGATTCACATGGATTTAGTTAGGAAATAGAAGATGAATCAAATTAGTTACCAAAAAATATGGCTTGTCAATATCCTATCAAATTATCCGGATTTAGTTAGGAAATAGAAAAGGGATTAAATTAGTTACCAAAAAATATGGCTTGTCAATTTCCTATCAAATTATCCAAATTTTATACCATTAATTACGTGTGTATTTTTTGTTATTACTTATAATAGTAAGTCAAAGCATTATTTTTTATAGTCAACCTTACTATTCTTGTATTTTTCCAACAACCTCTTTATATTACTATAGATTAGTAATGTATAAGAATGAAAAACAATGAAATTGGATACATAGTTGAATTTTTGGTTGATAAAAAACTAAATTATCAATTATACAAATATGAGTAGGATATATATATATATTTATATATATATATATATATATATATTAACTTAAAATTGAGTTTAAATAGCTTGTGTTATTAATTAGAATGGAACCTAACCTTCCGTGCAATCACGATTGGTAAGTAGATTATGACTTATGAGATTCTACAAAAGGAACCTTTAAAATTCAAATTCGTATCTCTAATTCTTGATTCACGAGTTAACTAATACTCCCTCCTATTCAAAATAAATGTCGTTTTGAGTAGTTGCACAATAATTAAGAATATTTTTATTTTCAATAATAACCCTATTTAATGAAGATAGAGATGAATGTTTTGAGAAAAAATGAAGAGGGAATATGGAAAGACGTTGTGTATTTATTGACTAAATGAGGGTAATAATGGAAAAAACATGTACAAAAGATCTAAAACGACATTTATTTGGTTAATAGTTGATAAAGCCAAAATGACATTTAAAAAGAATAGGAGGTAGTAGTACTTATTTTTTTTATTTATTTATTTATTTTATTTTATTTTATTTTTTTTTTGGAAAATTATTATTATTAGTTAACCTGCACGTACGTGTGTTCGTTGACCTGAGCTTTTTCGGCTGTTGTTTTCCTAAGCCAGTTGTTATTAAGCGTACTTCGAGAATAAAATGATTATGAGATTATGTTATCATCTTGACTTTAGTACCCCAAAAGTTTATTAAATAATACACGCAGTAATTCATTTTTGGGAGTCAAATAATTAATTGTTTTTGACCATGAACAAGTCAAAGGGTTCCTATTTTTAACCATTTTGTCAACACGAAATAACGTGTCTTTTGGTGTCCTGGCAAACTTTGCTAGCTGTTATCAAAGAAAATATTTTACTTGATATATCTCTTTAGATTATTGAGAAATGCTGCGGTTCTGTTATGAAACTATTTTGTCGAGGTTTGTAATTATTAGATCATTATGTAACCGTCGTGGATAGTTGATACAAACTCCGACATAATAGTTTCGTAACGGAACCGTAACATCTCCGTATATTATTATCCCAATGTAGAGTTTTTCCAAGGTTGGTGGATTACTGGTATCATTAAACAATTTTGTGATTCTCAATTATAATGTGGACTATATATATAGTCCATAGTCCACCTTGCATTGTAAATCTTGTTAAAAAGATAATGTTATTTAAGTTTCTATATACTCAACATGTATAGATTGAAGTATTTGAGGTGGACTTTTGATTTTTGCACGATTTTTGAATATATTTTCATTAAAAAAAGGAAAACAATTGCGCAAAAACCATAAGTCGGCAACTAGACAGGATTTGCTATACGAGTCGTGTGACTCATACATACTCATTCGTGTAGTTTTTTAGACTCAAAGGATGCTCGAGTCCATCTCTTACACGAGTCGTATGACTCGGGCACCACATCACAGGAGTCGAGTAACTTTTCAGCACCACGATTCTCGCCATTGTTGTGCCGATTGATACCTCAATTTGTATACATTTATTTTTTTATATAATAATGTATCCATACATCGGTGTATGTTCATCACACACACACACACACACACACACACACACACACACACACATATATATATATAACGTATTGTGCAATTTTAGATCACTCGCTCTATATAAATGTAGAATTTTCTGAATAAAATTGAATTTTGGTACGTCTTAATTTAATGTCATTTGTTGTTGTTTCGTAAATTTATATATCAATTTATGGTGGCTTGAAGTAGCCATGTAGATATGAACTTTAATACATGCCTTATTAGAAGTTTTAAAGTACAATTAGAAGATGATTTCATTGTCGCCCCAAACTACTGTAAAAAACCAATCACCGCTTTCCCCTTCCGCTCTGTCCCACCCCCTTGCCCCCAGACTTCGCCAACTCTTTTGGAAAAAAGCAGCAGATCAGGCGCAGTACGAGGAATAGGAAAAAAAATGGAACACTATGAACTTATAGTGCCATGGATTTGTAGGGGATTTGACCCACCCCATTTATTTTATCCGGCTCTGTGGGGGAATAAGCCCCCCAAACTTATTTTCTCCTACTCTGTAGGAAAATAAGCCCCCCCAAAAATCTCAGTTCGTTTATAATAAAACGTGTTAGCATAAAAAAAATAAAAAAATCAATTAGACATTCACATTGCAGTGTGTTTTACTGTGTCTTTTTTAAATAAAATAATAATTCAACTTATTTAAAAAGCATTTAAAAAAAGTCTCTATTAAAATCCATGTATTACAAGGTAATGTAAAACTAAGAGTTTAATATATTGTGGTCTATCTTTCTTGTTGAAATTTAGCAACTATAATATAATAACATATAAACTAATTTACATTTACTTTGTCATATAATCTGAAGATACAATATGATATATGCATTCTTGTTGATATGGCTCATATATTGACAAAGAAAGGAGGCAGGCTGATGCCTGCGAGCGTAACGGAGCGAACGCATCGAGGGAAGCGGAGCGACCGAGCGAAGTGAGCGGAGTGGAGCGAGGGTATTTAAGTAAATTAATACCTTGTAGGGTTATAGTATAAATACATGGTGTATTGATGTATTTGAGACTATTGAGAATAATAAAGATTCCTCAGCCGCCGTGGACGTTGGCACATTGCCGAACCACGTAAATCTTGTGTTGTTTACTTTCTCGTTTTTTTTTTTTTTTAATTCGTATGCCATATTGTCATCTTCACTCAACAAGTGGTACCAGAGCCTGGTTGATTGGGCGACGGAGATGACGAGAGGATCAAAATTCGAGGTCTCAAAATTTGATGGTCATGGCAATTTCGGATTATGGCAGACGAGAGTAAAAGATTTATTGGCGCAACAAGGAATTCAGAAAGGGCTGCGCGCAGAAAAGCCAAAGGGGATGGAAGACGATGATTGGCAAGATCTGCAGGAACAGGCGGCCGGGATGATTCGGTTGTGCCTTGCAGATGAAGTTATGTATTACATTATGCATCTCAAATCGACAGATGAGATCTGGAAGAAACTGGAATCGCAGTTTATGTCGAAAACCCTAACGACAAAATTGTATCTGAAGCAGAGGTTATACGGGCTGAAGATGCAAGAGGGGACCGATTTAGGGCAACATGTGAATATCTTCAATCAGGTTGTCACGGATTTGGCTTCACTCGAAGTCAAGATTGAAGATGAAGACAAGGCGATGATTTTACTGTGTTCGTTACCTCCTTCTTACTAACATATGGTGACTACCCTTACATATGGAAAAGAAACGATCAAGACTGAGGAGATTACATCAGCGTTGTTGGCTCACAACCAACGGAAACAGAAATCTGGAGAGTCATCTTCTCAAAGTGACAGTTTATATGTAAAGGGTAACTAGGATCGTGGAAGAAAACAGGATCGGATAATTCAGAAAATCGGAATTTCAGATCCAAGTCGCGAGACAAATCGAAAGGGAGGAAAACTGTGACGTGTTATAAGTGCAAGGAACAAGGGCACTTCAAACGGGATTGCCCAAAGTGGAAGAAACAGACTGCTGATATGTCATCCAAGTATGCAAATGTGGTACAAAATGAGGAATCTGATTGCAGTGATGGAGATATGTTATCTATTTCGACTACGCAGTATGATGATGCTTGGATTCTCGATTCTGGATGTTCATATCATATAACGCCTAACAGAGAGTGGTTTGCTACTTATAAACCAGACAACTCGGGTTCTATTTTTCTTGGTGATGGTAGATGCTGCGGTATTGTCGGTATTGGAGATGTCAAAATCAGGATGTATGATGGAACTGTTAGGACATTATGTGATGTGAGATATATCCCTGAGTTGAAGAAGAATTTGATTTCTTTGGGTACTTTGCGTAGAAATGGTTTCATTCCCAAGGCTGATGAGGATAGGGAAACCATTAAGATTGTGAAGGGTGCTTTGACTGTGATGAAGGGGAGGATCACTGCAGGGAATATTTACAAACTGTTGGGAAGTACAGTTGTAGGTGGAGTCCATTCGGTGGAGTCGTGTGAGGATAGCACGAAATTATGGCACATGCGTCTTGGACATCTTATTGAACATGGCATGACTGGACTACATAAGAGGGGGCTTCTGCATGGTGTTAAAACTTGCAGAAATTAAACTCAATTTCTGCAAGTTTTGTGCTCTGGGAAAGCAGACAAAAGTCAGTTTCAAGACTGGGAAGAAGAAGACAAAAGGAATTCTGGATTATGTACATTCAGATGTGTGGGGTCCTACTAGAGTGACATCGATTGGTGGTTCTGTGTACTATGTGACCTTTATTGATGATTTTTCGAAGAAAGTGTGGGTGTATTTCATGAAGCATAAATCTAAAGTTTTTGCTAAATTGAAGCTATGGAAGGCTGAGGTAGAGAACCAGACTGGTAGGAAAATCAAGTACTTAAGGTCTGATAATGGTACAGAGTACACCGATTCACAGTTCCAGAAGTTTTGTGAGGAGCATGGGATTCAGAGGCATTTTACAGTGCGTAAAACACCACAACAGAATGGTGTTTCTGAGAGGATGAATCGGACACTGGCTGAGAGGGCGATGTATTCAAGACTGGATGCAGGTTTGCCAAAGAGTTTCTGGGCTGAGGCTGTAAGTATGGCTTGTTATTTAATTAACAGATCACCACGTGCATCTCTGGATGGCAAAGTTGCAGAAGAAGTATGGACATATAATGATGTTAGTTTTGATCATTTGAAGATTTTTGGTTGTCCTGCTTATGTTCATATTCCTGCTAATGAGAGGTCAAAACTTGATGCTAAATCAAAGAAGTGCACTTTTCTGGGCTATAAGAAATGTGTGAAGGGATACAAGTTTTGGGATCCAGTTGAGAAGAAGACGGTGATTAGTAGAGATGCAGTATTTGATGAACAGTCTATGTTGGAATCAGATGCAGATAAGGTACAAGTGGAGTTGGAACATGTGCCAGCAGTTCTTGATAAGGGGGAGAGTTCGAGTTCTGCACCTGATGATGTTGATCATGATGTTTCTGGCCCAACTGATGTGCCAGAGAGCTACAAGTTAGCTCGGGATAGAGTGAGGCGTACCAATATACAAGCTCCGGTCAGGTTTGGTTATGAGGATATGGTCGCATGTGCTGTTACGATCACTAGCGTAGATCCATGTACTTTCCAGGAGGCTGTTTCTTGTGAGAATAATGATAGATGGAAGGCTGCCATGGAAGAAGAGATTAATTCTGTACACAAGAATCAGACATGGGAGTTGGATGTTCTTCCCGAAGGGAAGAGAGCTATTGGT